GACATAGGAGTGAGCCACCCCTTTATTTCCAAAGAAAAACTATATGGATGATGAACACTGCACAGACATTAAAAGCATGTTTTTTCAATATGAAATATATATTCAACTAAGGAAAACTAATTTCATTAAAATCTTTTTCCAGTATGCTGTCACCACTATTTTATCTGTGATCAACATTATATTGTTCATCAAAAGTGAATATCTCTTCACTGAATTCGATAGTATTTTAATGGTACAAGTTTTCTTGCTGTTCTCGGTGACTATTTCATTACTGTGGATTACCGAAATATTGAGACGGATAAAGTAAGTTGTTTTTTTGTTTATTGTATTTGATTGATGATTTTGATTTATTATTTGAATTAACTTTTTTTTATTTTAGGGATATACTTTTTAATTCTAAGAAGTCTGGTCATTGTCATCGTTTATTTAATATAGTTCTGATCATTTTTCAAGTTTCTATCTTTCACGTTACATTATACCAGACTTTTAAAGGTTTTTCCAAACTTTCCAAATGAAGAATGCAACCGGAAAATTGATTGTTAGACGGGAACGTACAGTTGTAACCCTCTTTTAGAAAGAAAGAATGTTGTCACAATTTACGATTCGAAATAGTTGTGGAGAATTTTTAGACGAATTCTTCTTAAAATGAATGTTTGAAATTTGACAAACGTTTTTGTTGTAGCGCGTTTTATCATTCTTGTAAGTACAGTACATAGCTCCAATGTAGCATAGGAGCTTTTTATAAATGTATCTAATGAAATTTTAAGACAAATGTTTTATAGCACTTATTTTAAAATTATTTGGTGGCTTATGTGTCTGTATTCATTGTAAGTATAATAGTTTCTCACAGAACGTTTGTACTGTCAAATTATCTCGACACTAAATAAAACTGGCATATTACACATCTCATGCAGTGTATATGAAATTTAAGATCGATTATAAAAAGTTCTAACGAAACGAAACTGTTCATTAACCACTATATACTATAGTATATAATAATACTACCGTTCACTTTTAGAATTTATTTCAAATTTTCTAATTAGGGTAAATTCTCTGGCTTCACATATGTGAGTGGAGAGTCTGCACCTGGAATGTATGACCCATTTACATCATACATTCAAAAAATACTCTTGATACATTAATTAATAATAAATAAATTCTAACATTTACTAATTTCTTTTGTATATGTAAATGCAGTTTAACACATTTGAGTTCATTTTGATACGTGCTTCTTGTCCTTTATTACTTATACACTCACTGGCCAATGAATTAAAAACCCCTTGCATATTTATTAAAAGTAATTTTGCAGCTTATGTGCAAAACACTTGAGTCGTATGTGTCACAATGTGTTCAGAAGCTCCTATTTAAGAATGCTGCTGCTAAATATAGTCATTAAGTTTATTAAAATTGGAAAGGCGAAGGACTTGACAGTTTCAAAAAGGGCTAATTATAAGTACCCGTTTCCCTGGAAACATGATTTTAAGAACTGTACAGCTGACTGGTTTTTCCAAAGACGAGTTATCCCTAGTGTTTAAAATAAATGAATTAGCCCATTTTTTATCATGTTATTCTCCATGTTATTTTATATAGCCTTTGAAAAATTTTGTTATTATATATCTATTTATTTTTATTTATTTAGATTTAGTTTACACTGAAAAAATTAAACAAATAATTTAGAACTGCATATTTGAGATGTTTTATTAATGTGAAATTATATATTACTATTTTGAATTTAAGTAGATTTGAAATATTATAACTAAATTAAACACTACAACACTTGCTGAGCTTACTGCAATTCAATATTCAAACGCTTTCAGCCTATTCTTATGGAACATCCCAGAAAATTATAGTTACACAAACCTGGAATGTATGACCCATTTAGATAATAGACAATTAGCCTGGATAAGACTAATTGTTTGAAATTTATAAAGTTTCTTACCATTTTCGATGCGCTGTAATTAAAATGAGATTTATATGCTAAGAATATTCTGTTATCGTGTTTCAATCCCGTTTTATTGGAAGAAAATCTTTATTAATTATAACAAAAGCGTGTTTCAATTTATAGAACAAATGAATATACTTTAATTTTGTTACTTCTGCAAATTTTTTTTGACATTCGGTTTGAATTTTGTAGATACACAAAGTTTTTTAGTACCAGAAAAAAAGAAAAAAGTTATCTAATCAGTGAAATAAAAAAGTCCCAGTCAATTATTTTAGAAAGGGTACATATAAACTTTTGGAAAGGCTAAATATGAGCGAGAGGATTAATTACCAACAAAATTAAACAGCAAAAGAATTTAAAAAGTTCAAAGTCCGTATGTGTTCGAGAATTTCCTATAGGACCCGCAACCCAGGTTTGTCGTTAATTAATATTTAATAGTGGATACACGGGAGCGAAGGAATAATATCGTAAAGTACGTGAAAATATAATTAACATTTAATGTTGTGGTAAATTTTCATAACTACCGTCGTTGTCGATTAAAAATAGCTCTGTGCCGAAAAAGCTGACCATGTCGATCACAACACATACACGTGGATGCAGTCAGCCATTACCGCAAATGAAAATGGTAACTATAATGTATGCTTGTCAATGTATATAAAGATTAACATTATTAACATTTAAAACAATGGCAATTAGTGCAATCAATGCAGTTACAACTTAAGAAAACATGATAAAACGTCTCTAGTAAAAAACAATTGTAAATAGCTTTATTAAATTCTTGCAATTAGTTCATCCAATGTAATATATGAAAAGTGTACAGTTTACTCATCTGAAGAAACCGTATATTGCGGCTTCGGTTGTCAGTTTGCCAGTGGAAGAAGCAGAATATAAGAGAATAACAATATTTTCTTATATATATCCCATTGTCATCATTTTAACTTAAAAAGAATCTCTAATATTTTAAGTTTTCCTTTAGACAAAAGACGTTTCATAAAATGTGTTCACGGCTTGTATAAAAATTTCACGCTTTCTTCAATTTTACTAATCCAGAAAACACAAAATGTAGAAAAGGAGCAATCTACAAATAAAAATACGATGGTCTCTATGTCACGATAGTTTCAATTTTGCATAGTTTGAACAAAATTTTGTCATAAAAACTATTCAAAATACAACAGATGCATTCTGTGAATCTGGCTCTAACGCTACATTCAAACAAAAGATAAAAATAATGGAATGCTCTACACTAATTAATACTTTCGTTACACAAGATTTAACATGAAAGAATTAGGAAAAAAATATAAATAAAACACAACTAAAAAGAAATGTATCCGAATAGTGCCCATCTTTGAATGCCTGTGGAGTTTGCATGTATTGTGAATATATTGTTCAAATTTATTGTTTATTTTATTAACATTTAAGTGGGTTTTATTGTGTTGTTGGAAGGTGTTTTTTTTTCTACTAGCATCACCTATAATTGTTTTCGTAAACTATTAAATATAATACGAAGAAATAAGTAAGATGTTTTCAAAAACTAAAATTTAAATGGAATGTTCTACTTGTAAAACAGTCTCTAACAACGGTTTTAAGAAACCTGTTGATGGCCTATAGGATTAGACTGAAAATGTTAGTAATTAAAATAATTCTCTGTCAGCTAATGCATTGAGGGTCGTAAATTTGTAATTCCTATAAAATATTGAAACTGGAATTTAATTTAATTCTTATATATTTACAGGTGGTAAGGGGATTATATTCTATTTTTTTCTTCCTTTGTTCAGTTTAGTGTTGCTTTGCAACAAAAGAAAAAATGTTCTGTTTGACGTTCATTTCAAATATAATATATCTTCCCACACGACGAAATTATAACTGTAGGCTCATTAAATAAATGGAAATAAATGGAAGTATGCTTTACAAAAATCGAGTGGATAAAATCACCGAATAATGGTGATTTGTCTGTACTTTATGAACATCTAGATTAAAGTTTACGTACTTCAGCTAAAAAGAATATGAAAATTATTTCTTAGAAACTGTCTGCGTGCCTTGCATTTTTCCTTAGTGCCCTGAAGCTGATACTAAAATTTATCCTCCACTGAAATACTTTCATTTTCATAAATCCCTTTAAACGGACGCCAAAACTTAAGCCACCCTCTGTGGTTACCATCAATTTCACCAATTCCAACTTTGGCAAGCGATACTGTGACTTCTGACCTGCCGGTAACTCGTCCGCAGAATC